AACAGAAACCCAAATACAATCCCATTCACAATAGCCACCAAAAAAATGAAATACCTTGGCATCTTCCTAGCCAGAGATGTGAAAGACCTTTATAATGAAAACTACAAAACACTGCTTAAAGAAACCAAAGATGACACAGACAAATGGAAAAATACTCCATGCTCATGAACTGGAAGAATCAACATTGTTAACATGTCCATCCTACCCAAAGCAATCTACAGATTTAACACAATACCATTAAATTATCAGCAGCATTCTTCTCAGACCTGGAAACATAAACAACCACAAAGTCAAAGCAACACTCAGCAAAAAAAAAAAAACCAAAGCAAGAGGTATCACACTCCCAGACTTTAAGCTTTATTATAAAACTACAATAATCAAAACAGCCTGGTATTGGTACAAGAACAGGCATATAGACCAATGGAACAGGATAGTGATTCCAGAAACAAGTCTTCTTATAAGACAAAACCAGAGAGGCCAGGCGCGGTGGCTCACGCCTATAATTCCAGTACTTTGGGAGACCGAGGTGAGAGATCCTGAGCTCATGGGTTCAAGATCAGACTGGGCAACTTGGCAAGAACTTATCTCTACAATAAATCAAAAAATTACTCGAGTGTGGTGGCACGTGCCTGTAGTTCCAGCAACTTGGAAGGTTGAGGTAGAAGGATCACCTGAGCTCAGCAGGTCAAGGCTGTGGAGGCCATGAGAGTGCCACTGTACTTCAGCCTGGGTGACAGAGTGAGACTCCAACTCAAAAAAAAATGAGGAGGAAACCAGAGGAATATATGACAGAAAGAAAAAAAAAACAAGGCAACATAGCCACAGAGACAGAGTGGTCATGAGTCAAGGAATGTAGCAGCCACCAGAAGCTAGAAGCAGCAAGGAATGGATTCTTCCCCAGAGCTTCTGGAGCAACTATGACCGCGCTGAAACTTAGATTTTAGCCTAATGATAGATTTCAGATTTGGGGACTCCAAAGCTGTGAGGGAATACATTTCTTCTGTCTTAAACCACCAAGTTTGTGCTAATTTGTTACAGCACACCAAAGAAACTAATACAGTAGTATATATCTTTAACCCATCTTAGTCTAGCTTTTATTGATATACCATGTCTGTCTATGTGCTCAGCTTTGGCCTTTATGTTGTTGTCATTCATTTTACTTCTATGTATGTTATCAACTTCAAAACACAATATTATTTTTGTTTAAACAGTTAACTGCTTGTTTTTTTTGAGCCGGGGTCTCAGTGTCACCCAAAGAGGAGTGCAATAGCATGCTCATGCTCACTGCAGCCTCGAACTCCTGAGCTCAAGAGATCCTCCCTCCTCAGTCTCTGAAGTAACTACGACTACAGGAGCATGCAGAGCAAGCAGCTGCCTCGGCCTCCCAAAGTGCTGGGATTACAGGCATGAGCCACCATACCTGGCTCAACTCTGTTTTAATGTTATTTTAATAATACAATTTAAAAAAAATTTACCCAAGCTGTTTCCATTTCTGGTGCTCTTCCTTCTTTTGTTTAGATTCATATATCCAATTGACATTACTTCCCTTCTACCTGAAGCATGTGCTTTAACATTATACAACTTATAGTCCAGTTATAAAACATATGTCTGAAAATGTCTTAATTTCATCTTTGCTTTTTAAAAGATATTCCTGCTGGGCATAGAATTCTAGGTTAATTGTTTGTTTTTTTCTTCATCAGTCCTTTTAACGTTACTTTGTTATCCTTTGACTTGTATTATTTCTGATGAGAAAGCTAATTTAATCCTTATTTTTTTCCTCTATACACAATGTCTTTTTTCCCACTGGTAATGTTAATGTTATTTTTAAAGATTTTGTTTATCACTAGTTTTGAGCAACATAATTATGACGTTCTTTGGTGTTTTCTTCATGTTTCACGTGCCTGTAGCTCATTAAGCCAGCTTCCCAGATCTGTGGGTTTAAGGTTTTCATCAATTTGAGAAAGTTTACCATTATTTCTTCAATTTTTAAATTTTTTTTACCCATTCTCTCTTTGGGATTCCCAGTTATCTCATATTAAGCTGTTTGAAGCTATTCTACTATTTTGGAATTATTTTTTCTGTATGTCATTTTGGATCATTTGTACTGCTAACCATTCAAGTTTACTAATCTTTTCTTTTGCAATATCTAATCGTTATCCACCCCATTCGGTTTGTTCTTCATCTTAAACAGTTCTATTTCAAAAAGTTCAATTTGAGATTTTTATATCTTCCATGTCTTTACTTCTTGAGCAAATGGAAAGGTTACAACAACTACCTTAACATCCTTGTATAAGTCTAACATCTCTGTCAGTTCTTGCTCAATTTCAACTGACTGACTCTCCTTCTCATTATTGGCTATGTTTTCCTGCCTCTTTGCATTAATCTTTGAACAACAGACATTGTAAATTTGACTTTGTTGGATGTTAAATACATCTGCAATCTTATAAATTTTCTTGAGATTTCTAGATGCGATTACGTTTCTTGGAAAGTTTAATCCTTTCAGGTCTCACTTTTCTTAGATGTATCCAGAGCAGTGTTCAGTCTAGGGTTACTTCCCACTACTAAGGCAAAAATTTCCTCAATATTCTACCTAGTGCCCCATAAATTATAAATTTCTTCACTGTGGCTGCTGAAAGAGATAGAGTTCCTGGCCCTGTGTGAATACACTATTCCCTCTAACCCTTTCAGAAGGTTCTTTCCCCAATCTCACGCAGTTTCCCCACACAGATGCCCTGATCAGTAAGTACTCTCTGGAGTTCTGTCTGTGCAGCTTTATCCTTTCTTGTATTCTGGCTAATGCTCTCTAGATGTTGATCATCTGAGACTCTCAGCACTACCTACTCAACTAAGGAAGTCTGCCAGATTCTACCTCAGTTCCCCTCTCCTTGTGTTGCACCCTGAAAACTCTCTGAGACTGTAAGCTGGAGAAATGATAGAGCTAACTTGTTTGTTTCTTAACTCTCAGGAATTGCTCTCACTTGTTACCTCATGCCATGTGTCTAAAAAACGTTTCATGGGATTTTATTTTGCTGTTGTTGTTACAGAAGAAAGGGTAAATCTCATCCCTGTTACTCCATGTTAGCTGAAAACAGACACAATACAGCAAACCAACAGATTGGAAGGTAATATAGCAATAAATAAATAATTTTTACAAAATTCACTTACATGGTTCCAGATTTCACATTGCAAATAACATTTAATAAACTACACTTGTTCAGTTTTGGTGTAATATCAAAGAAGATCTACAATTATCTAAAACTGCTTTTAAAAATAGTCTTTCACAGCACTATTCACAATTGCAAAAACATGGAGCCAACCCTGCTGCCCATTGAAACTGGGCTGAATTTTTTTTAAAAGTGGTACATATGCATGATGGAATATTATGCAACCATAAAAAAGAAAAAATTATGGACTTCACAGCAACTTGGATGAATTTAGAGTCTACAATACTCAGTGATTTATCACAGAAACAAGAACAGAGTTATCACATGTTCTCACTCATAAGCAGACCCTGAACATTTACCATAACACTATAAGAAAGGGATTAGCAGTAGCCAGAAACTGCAGTGGGGGAGACAGACATAACATTACTAAGGGTACCTGATCTCAAATCAGGCAAAGTGGGAACCAAAGGGAGGCCCAAATTTTACCTGTACGATGACCACTTGTATACCTCATTCTGAATTGCACCCTGTATCTTTAAAATAAACCAAAACAAAAAAATAAGTCTTCCTTAAGAAAAGTAGAGATTTAGTGGTTGCCAGGGACCAGGGAAAATGGAATGAGATGTGACTACTAACAGGTACAGGATTCTTTGTGGGATAATAAAAATGTTCTGAAATTAGATAATGGTCGCAGAACACTGCTGATATACTAAAATCCAATCAGCTTTAAACAGGTGAATTTTATGGCATGTGAATTATATCTCACTTTTTTTTTTCTTGATTATATATGCCCCGTCTTTTTTTTTTTTTTTTTTTAATTTTAAAGATGTGGTGTACAATTCAGGGTTAGGTATACAAATGTTCATTATGCAGGTACCCTTGTTGATGAGATGTGCCCCCCTCAGCAGATTCTCACTACTGCCAATCCTGCCTCCCCCCTACCTCCGGCAGTTTCCAACTATATCTCACTTTTTAAAACTTTTTATAACTACACAATACTCAGAATTTGTGTGGCCAAGTTTTTACATATACTTCAACCAAAATTACTTAATGTAAAAAATTGAATATAAAAGCAGATGTGAGAATCCAGTTATCTTCTTTTAAGCCAGACAGTAAAGAGATTTCCAAAAATCCAAGAAATGTAAGTTTTCTCAAAAACATATTTTGTTTTAGAAAAAGATACTTTACATTTATAAGTGTTATATATGTTACTGTGAAATGCGCTTGTTATTTTTTAAGTGAATTAAAATTTTTAAAAACTTTTCTCAGTTTTAATCTCTAATTCAGGAAATAACAATACATATAACTCACGTAAACAAAAACTCTCTGGAGTTCCCAATATATTTTAAGGATACAGGCTGGGTACGGTGGCTTACTCCTGCAACCCTAGCCCTTTAAGAGGCTGAAGTGGGAGGACTGCTTGAGCCCAGGAATTCAAGACCAGCCTGGACACCATAGCAAGACCTCGTCTCTATACAAAATAAAATAAATTAGCCAGGTGTGGTGGCACGTATCTATAATCCCAGCTACTTGGGAGGCTGAAGCAGAAAGAAAGCCTGAACCCAGGAGGTCGAAGATAAGGTGAGCCATGCTCGTGCCACTACACTCCAGCTTCCAGAGGAAGACCTTGATTCAAAAAAAAAAAAAAATTGAAGACTAAAGGGCCCTGAGACTAAAAAATTTAAGAAATGTCCATCCAAGTCATTAAACTATGCCAAAGATTCCACATTAGTGTACATCTTAGCAGACATAACAAAACAGTAATTAATTAGCAAAAATTGCTGGGAGAATGCATGTAAATGCACATTAAGGTTGTTATTTAATTACACCTCTTACTTGGAAGTTTCAGGCAAGCCAGCTGAGAGTTCCAGAAACACAGATAAGTAGTAACCACGCACAACTCCATTTCCATCCTAAAAAAAGATAAGAGGTTAAACAAACTCCAGATCAATTTAAATGTAAAAATTAAGCTGTAATAAAATGAACAGAATACAGATTAATATCTAATATCTGAACTGGAAAGTATTTCTAAGCTTCAAAGCAACAGAAGAAATAATGAAAAGATCAACCGACTTGAGTTTATAACAATTTTACACTTTTGCACATTTAAAAAAAATGAAAACAAAATTTTTATTTTTTTTGAGTTGGAGTCTCACTCTGTCGCCCAGGCTGGAGTGCAGTGGCACACTCACGGTCACTATAGATAGCCTCAACCTACTGAGTTCAGGTGATCCTTCCACCTCAGCCCTTCAAGTAGCTGGAACTACAGGTGCACACTACCATGCCCGGCTAATTTTTTGATTTATTGTAGAGACATGGTCTCACCATGTTGCCCAGACTGGTCTCAAACCTGCGGGCTCAGGCAATCCTCTTGCCTTGGCCTCCCAAAGTGCTAGAATTACAGGCTTGAGCAACCACACCTAGTCAAAAAGTAAAAATATTAAGGCACACAAATTAAGAAAAATATCAACATGAAAAGAATTAACAGTTGCAACATATATACAGCCTCCTACAAATCAGCCTTAACAAAAAAAGCAAAACCCTAATGGAAAAAATAATTTCATTAAAAACAAGAGAGGCAAAAAAAAGGTAATTTTTAGGACCAAAAAAAGAGTAACATGGAAAAAGGTAACAGCCCATGCTGAAAGTAATTAAAAGCAATTTCTCTATTTTTTTATGTTTGGATTCCATATAGGATGTTGTCTAGAGAGTAAGACATTGATTAAATCTCTACTAGAGATTTTTATACAGATAAGTACCCCCTCTGTATTTCCCCACTATTTTGCCCAGGTGTTTATTTTTTGAAAGGTCACATTTATTATAACTATTTGTTTGAACATCTGCTCCCCAACCAGACTACGAAGGCTGAGAACAGGGAGTCTCATACATCTCTGGCACCTACTGGATATGACAATAGAAGGTACAAGTACTTATTTACCTCTTCATTTCTAGTCTACCTTGCTTGAAAAGAACCTGAGCAGCTTTCAAGGTTTGACATGATAATCATGCAATAAATATTAATTAATAAATCATAAGCTAAGTGAATAAAGTCATACAAGAAAGATTATTATTGTATGATCCCATTATACAAAAATCTAGAAACGCAAAACTGTAGTGACAAAAGCAAGTCAGTGGTTGCGGCTGGCGGGGGAGGCCAAGAAAAGAAAAGGAATTAACTGAAAAGGGGACTAAGATAACTTTTTAAAGTCAAAACCATGACTGTGGTGGCAATTATGGGACTCTAAGTATTTGTCAAAACTTGCCAAAATTAGTGAATTTTATTGAATGTAAATTATATTGATTTTAGAAAGTCAACTAACATCCATGTTTAAACAGTTTTTGGTTTTCTTCTTTTGAATTACGTATGTTCTTAGAAAAACTTCCCTAAAATGAAATTAATAAATTAATAATTAATGAATAAAAGGGGAATGAATATTTTGGTCCCTGATCTTTAACCATTAATAATATTAAAATTCTATTTTGCCTTCTTATCATAATCTTACAGCTCACACCTGTAATCCCAGCACTTTGAGAGGCAGAGGCAAGAGGACTGCCTGAGCCCAGGGGTTTAAGAACAGCTCGGGCAACTTGGCGAAAATTAGCTGGGTGTGGCAGCACACAGCTGTGGTTCCAGCTAGTTGGAAGGCTAAGATGGAAGGATCGCCTGAACCCAAGAGGTCGAGGCTGTGGTGGTCATGAGTGTGCCACTGCACTCCAGCCTGGGCAACAGAGTAAGACGCCTACTAAACAAAACAAAACAAAACAAAAAAAAGTAGAAAGCACTAAGAAGATTAGGGAGAAAGTGATAAATATTAAAAATAGACTAAGAAGATTCAAAATATACATTGCAAAAATCATAACAAAGAGAGCCAAAAAGGGAGAAAAATAAATAATAAAAACCATAATTCAGAAAGACTTTTCTAAAATACAAAAAAAATTCTGAAACGACATATTGAAAGAGCCCAGTATATAATTGACACTACTGACCCAGAAGGATCAAGATGTGTAAGAGTAAATTATTGGACTTAAAAGATAATTTGGGCATCTAGGTAATATCAGCACATACTTTTTAAAGGGAAAGAAAGCTAGGTTGTTACCAGACATTACCTAAAGAAAATGGAATAACATATTTAAATACACAATGAAATAAAACATAAGTCAAGGATCTTATATCCAGCAATACCAGCTTTAAAGTATAAAGTACAGTTGTCCTTTGGTTAAAGTAAAAAGCGTAAAGTTGTTTTCAACATATGAGAACTCAGGGACTATTGTTTCCATAAGGCCTTCAAATAGAACATACCAGAGGACACACTCTGAACAAACTGCTACCCAGACATAAGGGAAAAGCAGGGAATGGGAAAGAGTACAGGAAAAATAAATAAATAACAGCTCTCAATAATCACATGAACGGCAGAATTAGTGTTCCTATTCCAAGATGTTTATGATCAAAAAAAAAACTAGCCAACTGTGGTGACATATGCCTGTAGTTCCAGCTACTTGGATGGCTGAGGAGGAATGATCGCCTGAATCCAGCAGGTAAAGGCTGCAGTGGCCATGAGTTTGCCACTACATTCCAGCCTGGGTGACACAGCAAGATTCCAACTCAGAAAAAAAAAAAAAAAGAAAAAGAAATAATCGGCATATATGTTTTAAATGACTTTCTGTATCTTTTACTTTTTTTCTTTTTTATTTAGTTTATTATAAAGACAAGGTCTCACTATGTTGCCCAGGCTGGTCTTGAACTCCTAGACTTAAGCAATCCTCCCACTTCAGCCTTCCAAAGTGCTGAGATTAAAGGCGTGACTACTGCACCCGACCTTCATTTTATTTATTTATTTATTTATTTTTGAGTTGGAGTCTCACTCTGTCACTCAGACTGGAGTGCATTGGCCGCTCACGGCCACTGCAGCCTCGACCTGCTACTCTGGCGATCCTTCCACCTCAGCCTTCCAAGTAGCTGGAACTACAGGTGCGCACTACCACGCCCGGCTAATTTTTGATTTATTTTTTATTTATTATAGAGATGAGGTCTCGCCAAGTTGCCCAGGCGGATCTCGAACCCGCAGGCTCAGGCAATTCACTCACCTCGACCTCCCAAAGTGCTGGGATTACAGGCTGAGCCACCGAGCCTGGCCTCATTTTACTTTTAATGCAGTTTTTTATAAAAGAATATTAAACAATTATTCTAAGATAAATATCTTTTTACAAATCATAAATAAAATTAAATGTGTAAGGATTCATACTATTCATATTTAACTCATTTTTTCATAGATTTAGTTATATACCTCATAAAGAAATATAAAATCATCATTAATTTCTTTACTCCATTAAAAAGTGAACTGGTATACTAGAGAACCTTGAAAGAAAGACCTTGGCTTCAAAATTTATTAGAAATCTGAAAAACTTACTGGGTAAACTTTTAACCTCCAGCAAAGTCCTGAAACTTGAAGAGGTGGACTGTAAACAGGATCTGCTCTCTGGCGCAAAGTACTAAAGAAAAGAAAAAAACAAATCTCAAGATCACAACTGTTGTGAAATAGCATCAAGCAAAAAAAGCAAAAATCAACCACTATCTTTATGTTACATATTCAAAATTCTAGACAAATAACAAAAGGTGACTGAACAAGATTACACTGAATATAAGTTTAGATATACTTACATTCTGAAATAAAAGAAAATTTAAAGATACTGAAATATTCAGCAATATCTTGCAAGTTTCAGGAAAAAAAGAAAACCCTTGAAATTGTGACACTTACTTAAGGAAAAAGGAAAGTATCACTAAGTTTCCAAATTGTAATGACTACTTCAACAAGCAGTCCTCCACGTTGGCAAAAACTAAGCAGTCCCTCTTATTTAAAATGGGTCCTTTTCCCAGACTATAGACGAAATCGGTATAACCCCCAAAAATACAACACGACCCAGACAAATAACCTCTATGTTTCCACTAGGAAAACTGTTTCTTCTAAGACTACTAAACTGAGTGACACAGTTCTCTACACCCCTATCTATCCTACCAAGGAGTGACACCTTCCTGGCTCTTTCTTACAGACACATACAAAAAAAAAAAAACAAACCAGAATGGTCAAGAACTCTTACCTGAAATTCTCTAAAACAAAAGTAGCTGAATCATAAGATGGTACTAATTCACTAAAAAGAAGCAAAAGTAAAAAAAATTATTTACGTATATAAACTTAAAATTCCATTTAGCTAAAAAAAAAAATCCCTCAGTAATATCTTGAAAACTTTATTAAGTCCCCAAGAAATATTTTTAAATCTTTATTAAACATAACACTAAATCAAATGAATTCATAAAACCATCAAAAGTTTGCAATTAGTTAGAGTTACAACAAATACGTTATAAAAATTTTTTTAAAGGCAATATATTATTTAAGTATTAAAATAAGCATAAGAGACAAATTTAAAAAGTATTCATGGAAATAGAAAAAAGGTAAAAAATTGAAGCTTAGGCTGGGAACCTGAATTATGAAACAGACATTAACAGGGTTAAAAGATGAAAAGAAACAGTAAAAACCAAAGATATTCGAGACCCGCCTGGGCAACTTGGCGAGACCTCATCTCTACAATAAATCAAAAAATTAGCCGGGCGTGGTAGCACACGCCTGTAGTTCCAGCTACTTGGAAGGCTGCGGTGGAAGGATCGCTGGAGCCCAGCAGGTCGAGGCTGCAGTGGCCAGAGGCGGCCACTGCACTCCAGTCTGGGCGACAGAGTGAGAAAAAAAACAAAAACAACAACAATAAAAAAAAAAAACAAAGATATCGCAATTAACCACTTAACTTCCTTCTTCGAAACAATGTAAATAGCAACAGATCTTAAATACTGCGAGATTATTTCCTAACTAATAAGCTATACAGTTTTATAGGATTAGAATACATAATCACCTAATTTGCACTTGAGATGGACTAGCACATTAACACTTCCTTGGTAAGGCAAGATTACCTTAAGCAACTTCATTCAGCTCCATCCAGTCTTCTCCAAGAGAAATGAACTAAAACCACAGGAAATGGGCTAAGGATAAGACATTTTTCTGCTAACTTAGTCACGTGAATGGTTTGTGGCACTTTGATTAAAACACCTCAAAAGTTATTAAAACACCATTTATGATAAAGACTCAATAATACAGTACTGTAATAATACAGTTTATAAATTTGATATATAAAGTTACAAAATTACCAAATTACACTGCAAACTCTTTCACCATATCTTCAGATATATTTTTTAAAGTTCAATTTATTAAAATGTTGGATACTATTCATACGAACTATGATACATCTATAGCACTGACACAGTGTGATAGTACCTAAAGAAACTAGTAGTTTGCCAAGTGAAAATATAGTATAAATAAAAAATAAATTATTCTTCATTTTATGGTAAGTACATATAGCTAAATAGGTCACATCTTCATAGTAAGTAGATGTATTTTGCCCCACAATTGCTAACTGTATAGCTATTACCCAAATTGACTATGCCAAGCAATCCTACCATATTGCTAGTCGCTTGTTACCTTTCCTTGGAAGACTGACATTCTGCATTCCCAGATTCTTTTGCCTGTTGAACTCTTACTATTCCTTCAGTCACACACCCTCAGAGGTCTACTCTAAGGTCTCCCTACTGTACAATCTCCTAGCACCTCAGTACACACAAACCCCAATGCAATTAGTGCCTGTGAAGTTTTCCTGAAACCATAAACCTAATCAGAGTTCTAAGGGATTCTTCTCAGTATAGTAACATGCTTTTTGTCACATAATTTTGCACAACTTTCAAACACACAAGTGTTGGTCAGTTCTCCCTCCAAGTTCAGAATATCCTCCATAATATGCAAAGACTTCAACCAATCCCCAATTTCCTGCTGATCTGCAAACTGTTTCTTCCACTATGTCCTTAACATCCAGGGTGAAACATTTCGTCTGTGTGTGTTTGTTTTTTGAGTCAGAGTTTCATTCTGTTGCCCAGGCTGCAGTACAGTAGTACAATCTTAGCTCACTGCAGCCTGAACCTCCTGGACTCAGGCACTCCTTCTGCCTTAGCGTCCCAAAATGCCGGAATTACAGGCATGAGCCACCGTGCCTGGCTTCCTGTGTTGTGGTTAATGTTGTTTTTGCTCTAAGTCTAGAGCATTGCCACATTTTATTAGCCATTAAGGGTCAAAAGAGTTCATCAGAACACAAAATAAACACCCAGGAGATGCCATGTTCAACTCAGAATGGTGAACTAGAAAGCTTACAGACTATAGAGCATAGGTTGCTAATACTCACTCACCAAGAGGACATAGCAGTATGCCCTAGCTCTCACTTGGGAGAGAAAACAATCACACTCAAAACACAGAAAGCACATCTAGCAACACTAAGGTACTGTAATATACATATATATATATATATATATTTGGCTTTTTTTAGGGAAAGCTTTGGGGATACAAATACTGTAATAACAAATTAGTGCTATAAGACAGGCTTAAACAGAATACACATACTTCTCCAATCACCAGCTATCATCTATTTTTCTGGTCATATAATTATAAATCACAAGAGGTCTCTATTACACTTCCCACTAGAACCTAACACAAGCCTGGAACATAGCTGACATTCAACTATTCACAGAATGAGTGAATATTTACAAATATTTGCTGGCAGATTCGTAAAGAGCTAGAAATATTTACTCAAAACTTGTTTTTGCATTATTTACATATAAATACAAAACCATGGCTACTGCTAAGCCATCGAATTCCACCACATTACCTATTTATTAATATCTCCATATTATGCCCACTTATTCTGAGGTTATCTTCAGTCATACTGGTATTTGTAAGGCCGGAGGTACCGGAGGGCAGGGCGGGCCTCAACAAGATGGCTCCAACCCAGACCAGGAGAACAATGGGTGGAAGTGAGCTAGCAAAAATGAGTAACCAGAAATAAGACCCCAGCCGCAAAGCCAGCCAGTACCTGTTACAGCGATTCTAGCAACCCCGTTCAGTCAGTCGCCAGCAGATGTGACAGCTGTCCCAATCAATGATCGCTCTCCCCAATCCTCCTCACAGCTTTCTCAGTGTGCCCTTTATAAACCTGTCGCCCATCTCGCTAGGTGCGACTTCTATGGCCCACAATTACATGGATCGGTGAACCTTGCCTGGGATTGCGCTAATAAATTTTTCTTGGCTCCTTTGTTGCCGTTTCGCCTGGTCTGGTTTCGTTTACCTTACAGTGTTATCATTCTGTGCCTGCAAATAACACACTGCTTTATCTTCTCATAGCTTTTTCTAAAATGTTGCCTCCTCTCTTATAAATGTAGACCACTCTGGTTTTTATGATGACTGGATTCATCTCATGGTGTTGGTGTATATTTGATATCACAGAATATGGGAAACTTGCATCAAACCATCTCTAGCCCAGTCTGTAATGATTGCACATCTTTAGAAAAGTGACATCACCATAATGACATGAGCAAAGAAAGGGCAAGTATCCAATATTTCCTTAATGGAATAGAGAGGTGAGATACATAAAAACTAGTTCTCTTTAACAACTTGACCATTTCTCACAAAAATGTAAAATACCCTATGGACTGAGAGCTATACTAGTTTTTTTTTTTTTTTGAGTCACAGACTCACTTTACCACTCAGGCTGAAATACAGTGGCATGCTCACAGCTACCACAGCCTCAACCTGCTGGACTCAGGCAATCCTTTCACTTCAGCCTTCCAAGTAGCTGGAATTACAGGTACACGCCACCATGCCTGACTAATTTTTAGATTTATTGTAGAGACAAGGTCTTGCCAAGTTGCCCAGGCTTGTCTAAAACCCCTGGATTCAGGCAATACTCTTGCCTCTGCCTACCAAAGTACTGAGATTATAGGCATGAGCCACCACGCCCAGCCTATGCTAGTCTTTTAAGATCTGCCTGAGGACACATATATAGTCCTATTTCCTACTATGTCCCAACAATGAATAATGCATAAATTCTGGCTGAACTTCTTGCTGCCCTCCAACTATACCAGTACTTGTCATATCCATATTTTTATTCATGCATAGTTCCCCATTCTCATCTGCCCAACAAAATCCTATGTATCTTTCAAGATCTTCCTCAGTTCCTTTCTACCATGCCAATCTCTACCCTGACCTCTCTTCAGAATTTCTGATATGATACATAACTGAATAACAAATATTAGGTCCTTAAAAAGAATTCTTTACCAACCAATGTGAAATATTTACCACCCAGAAAGATTTTTAGTTCCTCTTCTGTGTCTCCTATGCAACATCTACAGCAGTGCTGGGCATATAGTTTTTAATAAATAATACTTCACTGACTTAATGACCTTTTCTTCTCCATTGTGGCTCATCACCAGTCATGAACTGATAGAACTAAAAGCAATCTAAACTTTGGTCTGTAACCTTAATGTCAATGTACGCCGAACTTTCTTATTTGGCCCTCTTTGCTTTGCTGATCAATGCACTGGTAAGATAAACATCTGCTTCCTGTATGTCACAACAAATAAACAGAGTTTCTATTAAGAATCAGAGTTAAAAGCCACAATTTCCAATAGAGTAACAAGCATTACTGGAGACAGAGAGAGCCCTAAGGTTATCTTCACCCATGAAAAGCTGTTTCATTATCAGACTAGTAAGCATTGTTGCCTGCCTCATGAGCTGCTGAAAGTGGTATAAGGATAAGAACTAGCATATATCAATGGTTCCCAACCCCCAGTGTATTATTACTTCAGATGCCCAAGATGAATGTTCTAGACACCATTTCTAAAGATTCTAGGGAAGTTGGCCTGGAAATCTGCAATTTGGACAAACACTTCATATAGCTGGTTCAAGTGGCCCATGTACCACACTTTAAATTGAAAAACACTAATTTTTATACACAGTACTCATGTCAAAGATCTATGTTTCATTCCACAGGTGGTGACATGGTTCAGAAAAGGTATCTTCAAAACTAAAATGGCTGAACACACTATCAAAGAGGCAGCCTTGAGATATTGGTGAACAACCTTACTTCAACCAAATATATTTAAATTATAGCAAATACTTAGTGCTTTTAATAATATTCAGTGCCTTAATGAAATATAAATATTTTACCAGCTTTGTTACTTCAGAAAGAAATGAAGGCTTACTGATCAGTGAGAATCACCTGAATTCTGGCTGTCATAAAAAGTTTCCCCCTGTTTATAGGATTGTAGTAGTTATGATTCTCAGGAGGAACAAGGGCTTATACCAGTGATTCTCAACTGGGGTGATTTTGTCCCCAGGGACATTTGGCAATGTCTAGAAACATTTCTGTTACAACTGCAGGGTAAGGGGGTGCTACTAGGATACTGGTAAACATTCTATAAATCACAGCAAAGTTCCCCTCACCCCACAAATGATTATCTAGCTCAAAATATCAACAGTGTCAAGGTTCAAAAACCCTGGTTTGTGCCATATACTCTAGTATTGTACAATGACTTAATTCCCTGTGGCCATTGAAAGGTACCACATGTTAGAGAAAAAAGAAAAAGCAGCTCAACATAAAAAATGTTTACAGCAAAAGCTGTTTTCTAAATGTACCACAACCCTCAACATACTAGAAAAACCTGTATTCCATAAGTCATCTCTAATGTAAGATACATTAAGTCTATTGTATCAAAATATTTAACGGAAGCAGGGGCTTCACTGCTCATTTTAGCAATGAATAAGTCAAGATTTAAAAAGAACAAACTGAAAATGTCCGAGTGAACCCAATGTTATGGACTGATTTGTATTTCCCAAAACTCCTGTCAAAGTCCTAACCCACAGTGTGACTATATTTATAGATAGGTCTTTAGGAAGATTATTAAGGTTAAATGAGGTCATAAAGGTATGGCCCTAATCCAATAAAGCTGGTGCCTTCTCCTTCCCCAAAAAAGAGAAGAAAAATAACATTCTTTTGAAACAAGTAAATGCATTTGCACACAGATTTCAAATAAATATGAAATTTAAAACTGTGTTGTACCTGGTAAAGTCTGGAGGAACAGGGGTGGTAACAAAGGATGCCATGGGCTTTCGATGAACTTGCTGAAACATCATGAGGATCTCTGAGCTCTTGGATATCAATTCACTCTTACTACAAGACCGCAACTGTGTGAAGAAAAAATTAGCTGAACACACAAACTTACTGTTCACTTCCCCCTCAATATTCCTAATAAAGAAGGAAATTACAAATTATTCTGATTATAGATGGAAAAAAAATGAGACAAAAAAATGACTCAGTTGGACATGGTAGCTCACGCCTGTAATCCCAGCATTTAGGAGGCTGAGGTGAAAGGACTGTCTGAGTACAAGGGTTTGAGAACAGCCTGGACAACTTGGCAAAGTACCTCATCTCTGCAATAAATCAAAAAATTAGCCGGGCATGGTGGCGCACACCAGTACCTACTGGGTACAATGTCCACTACCTGGTGATGACTATATTAAAAGCCCAGACTTCACACTACACAATATACGCATTAAGAAATCTGCAATTCTACCCCCAAATATATAAAAATAAAAAGTTAAAAATAAGTAAAAATTTTAAAAGTTCACATGAGAAGCCAGATGTGGTGGCTCACACCTATAATTCCAGCACTTTGGGAGGCTGAGATGAGAAGACTGCCTGAGCCCATGGGCTTGAGACCAGCCTAGGCAATTTGGCAAGACCTCATCTCTACAATTAAAAAAAAAAAATTAACCGGGCATGGTGGTACATGCCTGTAGTTCCAGTTACTTGGAAGGTTGAGGCAGAAGGATCACCTGAGTCCAGTAGGTCGAGGCTGCAGTAGCTGTGAGCGTGCCACTGCACTCCAGTCTGAGTAACAGAATGAGACTCCAACTCAAAAAAAAAAAAAAAAAAGTCCACATGAGGACACAGTAAGAAGGCAGTTACCCATAAGCCAAGGCAGGAGAAACCATAAATGATGCTCTGAATGTTTTCAAATTTTACACAAATACTATCAAGCTAATAAAACCATGAAGCCTACATTTTTCACTCGGTATTGTTTTGTTTTTTAAAGATAAGATCTTGATATGCTGCCCAGGCTGCAGTGCAACAGCTATCTATAGGTGCAATCACAGCACACTGTAGTCTCCAACTCCTGGGCTAACGCAATCCTCTTGCCTCAGTCTCTTCAGTAGCTGGGACCTACCATAGGCATGCACTTGACTTCAATATTCTTTTGATTATAAACTAAGTTATTAGTCCATGCCTACACAAGGTCAAGATCATCAATATCATCATCTTCCATCTCCACATCTGTCCCACTAGGTCTTCAAGGGAAATAACACTTATGAAGGTGTCGTCTCCTATAATAACAATACCTTCTTCTGAAAAACCTGACTGAGGATGTTTTATAGCTAACTTTATTTTTTATAAGCAGAAGGAGCATACTCTAAAATAATGATAAAAAGTACAGTTCATTAAACACTACTTGCAACATTCTGTTATTTTTTTGTATGTTTCAAATGCCAAAATGTTTATAAGGTAAATAAATAGTATTACATTTTTTTTTTTGAGTTGGAGTCTCACTCTGTCACCCAGGCTAGAGTGCAATGGCACACTCACAACCACCCCAGTGACAACTTGCTGGGCTCTGGCGATCCTTCCGCCTCAGCCTTCCAAGTAGCCGGAACTATAGATGCGCACTACCATGCCCAGCTAATTTTTTGATTTATTGTAGAGATGAGGTCTTGCCAAGTTGCCAGGGCTGGTCTTGAACCTGCGGGCTCAGGCAATCCACTCACCTCGACCTCCCCAAAGTGCTGGGATTACAGGCTGAGTCACCCAGCCTGGCCCAGTATTAAATTTTAAAAAGTACAGTACAATAAATACATAAACCAATAGCATAGATCTTTATTATAATTATCAAATATTACATACAGTCCATAATTACATATGCTATATACTTTAATATAACTGGCAGCACAGTAGGTCTGTTAACACTAGCTACACCATAAACATGTGAGTAATGCTTTGCACTGCAACATTACAATAGCTACAATGTCAGCAAACATCACTAAGCAACAGGAATATTTCAGTTTCATTAAAATTTTGTGGGACCACTATCATATGCAGTCTATCAAATGAAACGTCATTATTTGGCACATGTCTGTATATGGAAAGGTGTGTGTAGGCTATATGCATATACTATACCATTTGACATGGGGACTTTAGCGTCCATGGATTTTGTTATCCTTGGGGATGCCCTGGAATCAATCCCCCTCAAATGACAAGAAAGAAATGTTTTGAGAGGGATGTTTGGCTGTAATTTTTTATTTGTCTGTTTCTTTTGGCAGCTCTGCTAGCATTTGATTAATGTATTTTGAAGCTACACTATTAGGAACATAAACATCTGGATTCATTATCCCCATTACCACTGTGAAATAACCTTTATTCCTGGTAATACTGTTTGCTTTGAAATCTACTTTGTTAACAAAAAGTCATTTTAACTTTCTATTAACCAGTGTTACCATGCCATATTCTCTCCTTTTGTTTTTAGCGTATTTAGGCCTACATATGTAAAATGCATGTCATGTAGGCAGCAAATAGTTGGGTCTAGTTTTATTTTAATCCTATCTGACACTCTGATTCTTTTTTGTTGTTGTTGTTTTTTTAGTTGGAGTCTCACTCCATCACCCAGGTCACCCCAGAGTCAACCTGCTGGGCTCCGGCGATCCTTCTACCTCAGCCTCGCAAGTAGCTTGGAACTACAGGCATGCTACCACACCTGGCTAATTTTTTTTTATTTATCATAGAGATGAGGTCTTGCCAAGTTGCCCGGGCTGGTCTCAAACCCGCAGGCTCAGGCAATCCACTCGCCCCAGTCTCCCAAAGTGCTGGGATTACAGTCTGAGTCACCCAGCCCGGCCGACACTCTGATTCTTAACTGGAATGTTTAGAACCTTCACATTTAATGTGCTTGCTGATATGGTGAAGTTTGGTGTCTCATTTTACTATTTTCTATCTGCCTCATCTGTTTTTTTGTTCTTTTTGTTTTCTTTTCCTGTTTTTCCTTCTATTAACCCTTTGCACTTGGATGTCCCCTTGAGGGAACATCATAAATCTAGCAAACCACTCAGATAGCGCCCCCCCATCAAGGGACGATAAAGAGATTGCTGGTCATTATACAGGACAAACTTAGATAAGTGAAAATTTTTCAAAAATGTATGTTTCCTTGAAGTTTTCCATTCAAATTGTACAACAAAGCAAATAAAGAGACGGAATATATACTGAGATACAATTGATCAGTTGAGAAGTGGTTCTCAGGAATCATGAGTGCGTCCTTCCACATCTTCTTCAAACAACAGTTAACAATAAATTATATATTATTAACGCAGGAGGAAGACAATGAAACTGCACTACCTGCTCAAACAGAAAAACACACCAGGCACAGTGGCTCACACCTGTAATCCCAGCACTTTGGGAGGCAGAGAAGACAGAATTGCCTGAGACAGGGGTTCGAGACCAGCCTAGGCAACTTGGAGAGACCTTGTCTCTACAATAAAAATAAAAAAAAATTAGCCAGGCATAGTGGTGCACGGCTGTGGTTCCAGCTACTTGGAAGGCTGAGGCAGAAGGATCACCTGAGCCCAGCAGGTCGAGGTTGCAGTGGTTTTGAGCATGCCACCATACTCCAGCCTGGAAGACAGATTAAGATTCCCACTCAAAAAAAAACCCAAAAGAAAACACTAGATGGAAGATGTTAAACAAATTACTATTGCACAACATGTATCAATGAACCTGCAATGCATGTCAGTGACTGTTTCACATGTTAGAAAAACATAAGATAAAATTTTGATTTTTTGGTGATAAGTAAGTTCCTCAATGTCCAAAATTCCACTATAAGCCAAATATCATTACAATAAAATACGTGGTTCCAACACTTTACTATTTAATATGAAGTGATTCATTTTTCACTATTTCATAAAAAAAGTACAGTCAAGTTACTGGTGGTGATCCACAAGATGTCTCCAAGTACAAATGGTTAAAACAGACATTTAGAAATAAAGAGCTTTAAAATTATACATGTATATTATATAAATATACTTTTTAAATATTTAAATATCTATAATTCCTAAGTTAAAGATGATATTACAAATCAAAGTATAAATTATTAAAACACCAGAAATAGCCAGAGTATTTAGAAGAAAATTGTTAGTCTAAAAAGCAATTAAGGAAAAAAAACATAAATAAATGAGTTCAGTCTTCAACTACAGAAGCCAGAAAAAGAACAGCAGTGCATAAAACGGGAAGAAATCATAAAGACAGTGATACAATTAACAAAAGTGTGTCATAAAATAGTTGGGAAAAATCAACATAACCAGTATTGGATCTTGGAAAAACATCGGTTAAACAGAAGAAATCCTAGAACATGGTGGATCAAGAAAAATAAAGTGTCCAACAGCATATTCAGAAGAAAAAACAGAATACAACTTCAAAGAGTATAAATATTTAAAATAAAATTAACTTTTAAAATAACATACTTTTACTGTACCTTTTCTCTGTTTAGATACAAACTTATGATTATATTACAATTGTCTACAGTATCCAGTGTGATAACAATGCTGTATAGGTTTGTAGCCTAGAAGCAACAGGCTATGCCATATCACCTAGATGTATTTTTAAAATATAGAAGATAAAAAATAGTATACCTGTATAGGGGGCACTTACCATAAAAGAAATTTGCACCTATTCAGTAAATGGTGCTGGGAAAACTGGCTGACCACATGCAGAAGATTGAAACAGGACCCCTATCTATCCCCATGCACAAAGGTTAACTCCAAAAGGATCAGAGACCTAAATATAAAACATCAAACCATAAGAACCTTAGAAAAGGAAGGAAATACCCTCATGGAAATCGAAACTGGCACCCAATTCCTGAACAAAACCCGAAACCCACAGGTCATAAGAGAGAAGATAGACAAGTGGGACCTTATTAAACTGACAAGCTTCTGCAAAGCCAAAGAAACCATCAAGAGAGCAGGGAGACAGGGAAAAAGTATTTGCCAACTCCAGGTCTGACAAAGGCTTAACATCCTGGATCTACAAGGAACTCAAACGTGCTGAAAACAAAAAAACAAACAACCCCATTATAAAATGGGCAAAA